CCTGGTGTTCACAACTGACAACTGCAGGGTTGGGGTGACGTCAGCTTCCATGGATCCCGACAAATCCGCACGCCCAACATCGACGCCCTGGCCGCGGACGGCATCGTGCTCGACAACCACTATGTGTCGCCCCTGTGCACACCATCCAGGGCGACGCTCCTCTCCGGCAGGCACCCAATTCACACGGGTGCGTATAGAGTTACCAACTCTTCAATGAAGAGAGTCGGGATGATGACGGGGAGTGGGTCTTGCACTAACATAGAAGTTCTGCAGAATCCGTTTGCTTGCGAAATCTTCAAGACATATTCATTGTTTCCATCTTCTTCTGCAAGACATATCATTGTTTCTTCAAGACATACCTTTGACGTATCCATTGTATACCTCCGGAACCTTTGAAGTGGTGCTTCAGCTGGCTACGTGATGTTTGAAACACTTCCTCTTGCTGCAGAATGTACTCGTGAAAGTTGCCGCATTTCACGCGAAAGTTCCAATAAGGTGGTCAAAGCACCTCTCTACCAGCGCTTGTCACTGAAACATTGTACCCTGCGTGTTATTCGTGCGAAGGTCGTGTTCCATAGCTTGAAGCGCGCTTCCATTGGTTCACATAAAAATTTTTAACTGGAAGGTCCAGAAAGAATTCGGGACATACCCCGAAAGGCACTCCGTGGGATTCGGGATGCTGTATAATAAACCGGGACAGTCCCACGAAATAAAGGATCGTTAGAAGTCCTAAGTATGGTGCGTAGTCTCAACGAGAAAACTGTTTTATTGGAGCGCTCACTGCAGTTATTTAGGCTTTATGCATGCATGGTCCTAAGCAACCACAGGTAAGGATAACACGGCCATCCAGACTTATTCTAGCGTTCACTGTGACATAGCCTAGAGCTACAAAATGGGTGAACAGGAGTTGATTTATCGGTGCTATAAGTGAACACAGGCAATGCATAGAACGAAAACATACGGAACACACATTCAACGCCATGCGCTCAACGACGTGCGTTTTGTACTTGTTTGTTTGTTTGTTTTTTTGCTTTGCGAAGTGCTTGTGTAGACTAGATGCGCATTTAAAGATGAAATGTGACGTCGAAATTGTGGTGCAGTATGGCAGCGACGTTGCGGGTTCTGTGGAACACAGAGCTTTCACAAAATGAAGATACCCCTGGAATTTTAAGCTTGAATGTTGCCTTTAGATACAACTATAAAGTGCCCCTGTCATTCTTTAATACAAACTAAATGATGCCCCTGTGCACGTAATACATGCTGTTGCGCATGCGCGATAATTTGTTGTCATTATTTACCGTATACTTTTCTGTTTTCTTTTTATGTGCTCCTGTCATTTAGTGCAGGGCAGCAAATCATGCGCTTCGTAATTCATCGCTGGTTGTGCGTAACCAGAAAATTCTCCATTCGGTGGGGGGGAGGGGGGGTATTTATATGGGCGTGTATATGTATAGGGAAGTATAACTGAGAAATTCGGGGGGTAGTGGTACTCCCCCAGCCCTCCCCACGGCTACGCCTCTGGTTGTGTGGTATTTGAATATAAGAGAGCGGCATTCTTAGTTGAGCTAGTGAAAGAATCGCTGTGCACTGTATACGGGTTCACACATACTTTGACCACATGTTTCAAGTGACTTTGTCATGTTTGAAATTGATTCTTTTAATCTAAATATACGTTTATAAACGCAAAAATTGCACATGATCAGGAAAGAAATGCAAATAAACGCTGTTCTGGTTAAGCAGAGATGATATCCTGCTGGCTGCCCTGCATTTCAGAATGGAGAAGACGTAGGAATTAAAAGAAGAAATGAAAAACCAGAAGAGCTCATCAATGTACTGTAAAATCATTAAGACCGTAGTAATCTGGTGCGTGAGCAGAAAGTTATTAGCTTGTGCTGGTCATAAAAACTTGGAATTCTTTAGAAAATTTGAGCAATAAATCACAATATTTCCCCGCAAGGTTGCTTTGAGCCATAGGTACGAGTGTGAGGCGAGTAAATGTAACAAGTATCGTTGCTATGGCAGCTCGTACATGGTAGTGCCAGAACTTCTATAGTAACTTTTCAGAAACAGCTGTCAGATAGATATCCGAAATGCCAGTGGTCGCCATGCCGAAGCCACGATAGAACATCGCACCTTGTCGAAGATATTATCTCCCGCAAAATTGCAGTGCAGACCAACACAATATTAAACAAAAAGCCTTCTCAATCTCCTCAACAGTACATGATTAAAGTGAAACTTTTACAAAGACTGGATCAAGTCAGAGTAATGAAGCATTCAGACCCCAATATTCCAGTGTTTCGATTCAAGCGCTTAGTTATGACAAAAGAACATAATAGCTGATATTTCTTCTTCAAAATACTGTATCGGCATTCCGTCGTTGGGCTGTTGGAACACAATATACGGTTTCACTCTGTCTTGCTGTGTTTGCACTGCTTTCGTACAATATAAATGTTTGCAACGTCAACAAAATTGTGACCGTTTGTATCCTCACATAGACATTCTCCTGATGACCTGCTTAGGAGTTCTTACTGCACATAAAGTCTATGGTACTCAACGATGACTTTGGATGTTAGGTTCTACACATGCGGCTTACTTGTGGTATACCAAGCTTACAAGAAAGCAGATGAGTTTATTTAAACTGCCCATATATATTACCAGGTTGCGGGATCGAATCCCGACTGCTGTGGCTGCATTTCCGATGGAGGCGGTAGGCCCGTGTGCTCAGAATTGGGTGCACGTTAAAGAGCCCAAGGTGGTCGAAATTTCTTGAGCCCTGCACTACGGCGTCTCTCATAATAATATGGTAGTTATGGGCCGTTAAATCCCACATATCAATCCATCAATCAAATATATTACCAGACATTATGACCATATGTGCGCATGATGTAATTTTATGAGATTTCACAGAAAAAGAGAGCGATATGCAGGTCAATCGAACCGTACCTAATAATTTTTAAGGAATGTATAAGCGGTTGATGAAACACCACCAAAAAGCCATACCCACTATACTTGTATAAATAATGGCGTTAGAAAGAGTACAACTTGCCAGGAGAAAGTTTTGAAGAACGAATACAGTATATTCAAGCTTATTGATGCAGATAGTGCGCCTACTCGATGAAGCCTAAATGCACATCTATATTGAAGATTATTTTTAAAAAAACGGTGAAGTCATGTGTTAGTGGTTTGACTAAATTAGCAATTATAGTAACAGTGAATGACGCGCCTCGTCTTGTTTTCAGGGCTGCAGCACAATGTAATCTATTCGGCGATGCCATACGCTTTCCCTCTCCATTTTAAGCTGATGCCCGAATATTTCAAGGCACTGGGATATGAGTCGCATGCTGTGGGAAAGGTAAGCTATATGATTATCAGAGCTTCACTCCGTTGTTAAATGTGTTGGTGGAGATAGCACACACTGATGCGGCTCACGGAGACTCCAGACACTGTATATTACCATCTGGTGATGTTGAATAGAGTGAGTGTTCCAATAAGTATTGAGTTAGTATTGGGTTATGGTCTACTGAGTTGCTTTACAAAGGGCTGACAAAAGATTCGTCATAAAAGTAGTTATGACGTGCTATTTTTATTCATTATTAGATGGACGATGCACTAAAAGATACCGTACAAGAACAATAAACAAACGTAACGCTAAAGCCCGAGAGAGTGAAAATGATTTGGCCCATCTTGGGTTCAGAAAGCTGTCACAAAACGTCTATTATGTGGTCACGGGGTCGTGACGCAGATGAAGGGAGCAGGCTGGGTGTTCAGCTTAAACTGCTTATTGAGTCGAAATTGTGGCCACGTGAAAGAAAACTTACATTACAGCAGGGCACTGGCACTCATAGCGGCGAGCACAGGGTCGGCCGTCGATCAACTGACAAGTGGCGAAGCGCGTCGGTATTTGTACATGTGCCGTCAAATATTCCAGCTTTAACAAAGGTCTTCGCGCAAGCTCTGGAATAAGCTCGAGTGTTCACGTCTTGCGCACAATCTGAACAGATTGATCTACATTAACCATGAGCCTTCTAGAACAATGAGGCGCAGCTTTGCGCTGAGCGTTCCAAACAGGATTTGTGGGTGAAAACCAAATACCTGTGACAAACGGGAAAAAGTAAAGTACTTTGTAGTAAACCCCTTTGTTCGCGAAAAGAGGCTATTTGTAGACAGGAGTTGTGCCCATGACACACGGCACCAGACACAGCAACTTCCACTGCCAATTAACGCAGTGGTAGTGACTTCATGCGGGCGTTTGAGAGTATAGGCCTTCCCTGGCCGCTAAGTAGATGCCGGATCTGCTTTACCGAAAATGATCTTTGCCTGAAAGGAGTTACTTGTTTGTCGTGTGTCACTGCGCCCGTTTACGCCTTTCCAGAAGACGTCTCCTTGTCTAAAGGATTTTAGGGTGCCCGTGTGTTACGAGTATAAATGATAAACGCGCGTGGCAATATTATAGGCGTTCAAGTAAGTGATCCAGCACTACGTATACGGGCAAGGCTAAACCTCGAGTCACGGTGACGTAGGATACGCATGTACTGCACGTACTCCGACAACGCTTTGTTGATTCAGGAAATGTGACAGAATTCTCTCTCTGTGTCTGACCAAGTGGCATTTAGGTCACATGACCAGGAACCACACACCGACACGTCGGGGCTTCGATTCCTTCTACGGCTACTACAGCGGTCACCATGGCTACACGGATCACTCAGCCTTCGAGGTATAACCAGGTATTTGTAAGAACAAACCTAGCCTATCTGTAATCTAGTTTTTGTGAGATTGTATGTGAACGTGAATACAGAGTCCACCCTATAACAGACACGTTCACTGCACGCTCTTTTTCATATACCGGTATCCTTACTGGGCTCCTCTTAGGAGTACATGGACGATCCCAAGGATCAATGGACAGGCTGGGGTATGGACCTTTGGCACAATCTCGAAGCTGATAGGTCCAAGTCGGGAAATTACACCACGCAACTGTTCACGGAGAAGGCGATTGAAATACTGAAGAATCGGGACCGTAGTAAGGTAAGAATCGTGCTGAGCGAAAACTGTGAGATGCGACTGTGACATATTCTTTGTATAAGATATTATCATACTTAGCAGAATAACTGTCATAGTGTCGCGTATATTCACAATTGATTGACTCATTGAAAACGCCCGGCTTAGTTTTTTTAATTGAGACAGAAATAGTTTTCAGTGGGCACGAGGAACAAATATAATTCAGTAATGGACGGCTCTCGTTCTTTCTTCAATATTTCGGGAGCAATTTATTTCGTTTAAGTAAGCAACATGATGCTGTTCCTACCTTGCACTTAACAGCAAACAACGGCTTCGTAACACGATCTGAACTGTTAAGCTACCTCGTATGAACTTGGCTTGCAATAGCGCGGCATAAGAAAAGAGGAAAAAGATGACACAGAAGTCAAGAAAAGTAGTCGCTCGTATATACCACGTGTGTATTTCATTCTCGTTCTTTGGCAAGAAACAACCACAGAACCCGCCGACGGTTTTTTGAAACTCGAAGACATGTATCGATATTTGCCTTTGAACAATAAGGTTCGTCAATGAAGTTGTGTAGCTAAAAAAACGCTGTCCTATCTACTTCATCTTCTCGAAGTATTATGGCGCTAAATATTTTTTCTAAATCATCTGATGAAACAGTACTTCGTGAGAAGATGGTGCTTGGCTAAAAAAAGAAAGATAGGATTTCCTTTGGCAACATTTTCCAAGCGACAGTTTCAAAAACTAAAGTCATATCTCATGTGCATGTGCAGGTAGAACTGATTTAGGCTTTCTTTATTCTTCTGGACTTGCAATCACTTGTCTTGCAGCCATTATTTTTGTATCTCGCTCACCTGGCCGTTCACGTGGGGAACTTCTATGCACTCTTTGAGGCACCGGACAGATATATCGAGTTGAACAGACACATCAAGAACAACAAGAGACGACATTTTGCCGGTTAGTGCGTGGGGCCAAACTTTTTGCCAGGTTCAATCAACCTTCTTGACCAGTGCCGCTGGAGTGAGAAATCAATAGTTTCTCCTCTGTGCAGCAATGCTGTCTGCGCTGGACGATTCCATTGGCCAGTTGGTGGAAGCCCTTAACGCCACGGACGCGATTCAAGACACCATCATTGCTCTGACGACGGACAACGGCGCGGCAACGGGGGGCATTGACAGCAGCGCCGGATCCAACTGGCCCCTTCGCGGTACGAAGGCGAACCACTGGGAAGGAGGAGTGCGGGGAATAGCTCTCCTCTGGAGCCCCATGATACGTCAGCCCAGGGTGTCTCGCCAGCTGATGCACGTATCTGATTGGCTGCCCACGCTCTACTCCGCAGCTGGTAAGGTAAAGACGGTTTCAAGATTACAAGCGTTGTACGCCCCCCCTTCCCCCCCCCCAAAAAAAAAACTACCGGGCACTTCATTGACCAGCTTCTAACGCCAAAACTGATAGCACGTTTTCAAGTTTTTTCCAAGGTTAAGAAAATTCTCTCCGTAGTTTTTCAGATGAAAAGAACGTGTGCGAAGTTCAGGGAATCTCTTTCAACTTTTTATGTAACTCAAAAGAACATTTATTTGAATATATTTTGCCAAATGAGAGAAGAAAAGTGTAGAAAACGAGCGGGCTGTTTTCTAAAGCCCTTCTGGCCCAGATGTCATCTAAGGCCTGTGTTTGTTTACAGTGAAAGAGTACGTCACTACCAGTATGCGTTTTTTGGGGAGGTTTTCTTTTTCACGGGACGGCTTTTTGCTCTCCCATAGTAGAGTACCAAGTACTCTAAATTGTGAAACCCTTTTTCTAAAAGAAATCTAGGTGTCGACCTGTGCCCCTGTGGCAGTCACTGTCGATGAATATACATATATGGGCTATGTACAATACAGAGAAATCGGCAGTGATGTCACGCAAGCTGATCAACAAACGCAACGAAATACACAACAAAGATGGCAGTTACAGTGATACGCTGTGTGAATGTCCGCTGGATTTATTTGGCTGTGTCTAAGAAGCGAGACCCTCGACAGATGGTCGCCTTCTTTTGTTCATTCGTCAAGTGGGTCTTGTCTCGGCACACTTAATGCCTGTGGGTAGCCTGCGATGGTCAGAAGCCAGTTTGTGAAGATGTCACGTGCCACATGCGAAGGTCACGTGGTAAAACGAATGTTTTAGATTCGCCGTCATGGGTACACGTATAGCTGGCCAACACTGCCAGCTAGTGTGCCTCAACGCGGCTTCTTTCCCGCCACTCCGCGCTGTATGGCAGCATCCGCTGTTTGTACGTCTGCCAGTGAAGCGCCCATTCCTTCGCTCACGCCTCACGCACATGTCGATACGAGCTGGAATACAGCGCAGATATCGCCACCCTGCGCCCTGTGGTAAAGTCCCTAAAAAAAAAGAACTAAATAGCGCCAACCGCATACTTTTGCCTCTACCTCCTCTCCCAGCAACCACAGCAGCGCCTCTAGAGTGTCCACCAGGAAACTACGAACGTGAAAGCACGCGGGCGCCCTGGATGTGCAAGACGCTTGGGCAGCTCGGGCACTGCTGTGCCGTGTGTTCATCAAGTGGATGTGCCTCGAGTATGCTGAAAGGGTAGGCCGGTGGGGTCAGTTCATGGCGCGCGCGTTGGAGAAAGTGGAAAAACAATATGGCGTTTGCGATACCTTCACGAAAGCTATGCATGCGAGTGAAGAGGAGTCTGCACATTGACGCGAATGGCGCTACTTTAGTTTTTTTCAGGGATTCGTTTCAGGGATTCGCCTCCGTGGCCGGGGAGGAGTAGCATGAAGTCATAACTGAACATACGAATAGGGAAACTTAAAAGTGATTACAGTGTAAGTATAGAAGCGAAGAAACAAGGATAGAAACAAGGATAGCGTGGAAACTTGCCCAAGTTTCCACGCTTCGTAGCATAAAGTCCCTATTCGTGGGCATTAGGTGTACAGATATTTTGAAAGACTTGCACGAGCACGCACTTTCTGTCCCAGCTCTGTTGGTGGTGAACCGGACACGTATTTTGACGTTTGCGAGTTTGCATCTCAATCGACGATAACAGTACCTTTTTTTCGTTCAGTTTGATTCATTTCAATTTATTGCATAATTACTACGCTATACTTGTAGAAAACAGTTGATTTTTGAATTACTTTTTGTGTTGTTCGGGCTATTATTTATTATTGTCTTTAACACGTTTGCCGTTGTTCTGTCGCTACCACTGAACTTATGTATGGGAGGGTTGATATTAGGCCTGTATTCACAAACCAACCTCAGCCTTACCTCGAGTTTTCCTTATCGATTATAAGCCTTTATTGCCCTTGATGAACAAAGTAGGTGAGCAGCTATGAACCAATCGTACCCTCTTATCTTTCTCGTGCCCTTATAACGCATGTAGAGAGTACAGAAACTTGAAGGAAACGTGAGGTAAGGCGTAGGTTTGTTGGTGAATGCAGGCCTTAGTGAGCCAGCGATCATCAGCTTTTAGTCTGGTCAACTTAGGCATTGTATGTTTAATTTGAATAAACTTAACTACCAGGGAGTAGTACGCAATCAAAAAAAAAAGGTGTTTCACCTTGACCACTGGAAGGGCGGAGGGGTGAAGCATGATGCGGGCGCCTGTGTTTCTCACGGACAGATATTTATTCTTTACTGCTTCGCTGCCAACGGTCTGTTAATGCATGTTCAATTTGTAGGAATGTTTCAATGTAATGCGTTTCAAGTGAAGAACTTCAGCATAGAGATGCACGTTTGTAAAACGTGTGAGCGCCTCTTTGAATTTTGTCGGGGATTCTAACACCGGTGTTAAGGTAAATACTTCATGCGGTAACGACGAGCCTTTTCTACATTTGACGCACAGTATGTAGAACATTGTTCGAATAACCAGGGAGTACTGGGTATAACTACAGTTGAAGGCGCCCTTCTGAATCTGTACGCACTGGAATTTAACTTCCTGTAAACTTCTCCGTGAGGCGCTGTTTGTGGGAAAAACTCGCAGCATATCCACGGAGTGAATGATGTTGAGTGGGGCGAAGCGTCCATCAGTCCTTCCGTCCGTCCATTCGTCCGTTCGTTTGTCTGTGCGTCCGTACTTCCTTGCGACAGTCCGTTCGTCCGTCCATCCGCACTTCTGTCAGTCTATCCGTCTGCCTATCCGTCCGTTCTTCCGTCCGTGCGTCCGTCTGAGCATCCGTGCAGCCGTCAGTGCATTCGTCCATCTGTCTGTCTGTCTGTCTGTCTGTCTGTCTGTCTGTATGTCTGTCTGTCTGTCTGTCTGTCTGTCTGTCTCTGTCTGTCTGTCTGTCTGTCTGTCTGTCTGTCTGTCTGTCTGTCTGTCTGTCTGTCTGTCTGTCCCTCCCTCCGTCCGTCCATCCGTCCGTCCATCTAGTGAATACTTCAAGTACCGCTATCTCGCATCTTTTCATTGCATATTCATCATGTACCAGTACCGCTATCCAGCGGACATTCCAAGGACTTAACGAGAGGTGGTTACCACCACTTACTACTACTACTACTACTACTACTACTACTACTACTACTACTACTACTACTACTACTACTACTACTACATACAAAGGGACGCGCGACCCACGGCTTAAGGAGCTTCGCCCCTAAAAAATATCAACGAGGAAGAAGATGATAAACTGTTCTGTCTTTGATTCACGCGCTTCAGGAGCAACACACGGAGTGGGCCTGCGGTTTATTTTAAATAAACTTCTTTACGAAACGGGAGGCGTGATTTCCCACAAGTGGCCCCTAGTTTCGGCACCAATTGTAGGAAATAGAACCTCCAGCTACGTAGAAAAAAATTCACAGCCTATCCATGGAGTGCATGGGGATGAGTGGGGCGACGGGTCCGTCCGTCTGTCTGTCCGTCTGTCTGCCTGTCTCTCTGCCCGATCGTCCGTCTTTTGGTCAGTCAACTATACGGAATCATCTACTATATGAAAAACAGTATAACGCCATCTAGTGGTATTATTTCCAAAAGCATATATACACAAGGCCATCTAGAGGTCAATTCTGAAAAATAACAAGAAGTTGCTACTACTACTACAGAGTAGGAAACGACCGACACTTTAGAGAGCTTCATCCCTGAAATGCTTTTTTGTATAATAATCCGCATCCTTATTCCGTGGGTTGCCGCTGCAGCGCGTGATGATAATAATGATGATGATGATGATGATGCCTCCACTATTGCTCTTGCCCACTAAGGGGGATTCGCCAAGAATTGAGCGCGTGAATCGAAGGTAGAACAGTTTCTCGTCTTTTTCCTCGTTGATATTTTCTAACACATTATTCATTATATGCACAGTAGGGACCGGTAGCAAGTGGTGGTAATTATGTGATCTTCGTGACGTATACCCGTTTATGACGGACCATGATGACAACATTACACGCCGACAAGCCAAGACGATGAAGTGCTTCGCCCCTAAGAAGAATGAATAAAGCCGCGCACGCTTTCCTTGGCATGTTTGTCTGTTGAATTCACTTGGTTGTGCCTCACAAAGGAGAGTGCTCCTCAAAAAGTCTCCCCTCATTTTCCACATCATCATCATCATCATCATCATCATCATCATCACCCTGACTACGTCCACTGCAAGGCAAAGGCCTCTCCCATGTTCCGCCAGTTAACCCGGTCCTGTGCTTGCTGCTGGCAATTTATACCCGCAAACTTCTTAATCTCATCTGCCCACCTAACCTTCTGTCTCCCCCTAACCCTCTTCCCTTCTCTGGGAATCTTTATATCTCTTTATATATTTTATGGTTGTATTGGTAGAAGTGCGTTGCTGTGGTTATATAGATTGAACTTGCTTTTCTTTATCATCCCCCCTTATGGCCCACTTGTGACGTCAAGGCGGCAAGGTGGATGACCTGGGCGACATCGATGGCGTCGACATGTGGCGTAGCCTCGTAACGGGCCTCGGCTCTCCGAGATCTGAGGTTCTGCACAACATCGACCCCATATGGAACATGTCCGCCCTACGCGTCGGCCGCTACAAGTACCTCAACGGGACTTACGGCGATGGCCGGTACGACGGCTGGTACGAACCCCTGCAAGAGAGAGGCTTCGAGTTTGGACTCTTCGGGGTGGACAACACGTCGGGAGACAAGTACGGCCTCCGCCACCTGTACGACGACGGGGACGCCACACCTATGACTGCTGCGGAGTACTACAAGGCGTGGCAGCAGGAACCTCCCAGTTATCGTGATTCCTCGTCGAGTGCGGCAAGAAGGTACGCGGCGCTTGTTCTTTATTGAGATGGGCTTACGTTCATTAGGTGTTGTTGGAAAATTAACGGGACGCAAGAAAAATCAGTAAGAAGAATGAGGTTGCATAGATATTTTTAACATAATGGTATGACTTAACATGACGTTTTTAGCACAGGACACAAGGGGGGAGGGGCAGGGGAGAGTGCACATCTCCGGATCATATAAGGAGGACGTCAAGCATGCTCCATACGTTTGCCCGTTAGGACCATCTGGGTAATTTTTTTTAATATGTACTTGACCGAGGAACCTCATTTCTACTTTCTTGCTGATTCATAGACAACGATTTGTCTTGTTCTTACTAGGGACGGCATAGTGCTCTACCATAGTTAAGTACCAAGTACTCGAAATCGTTAAACGTTTTTTCTAAACACCTCATGTGTGAGGCCCACGGGGCTGCTTTGTGCTTTCCCATAGTAGAGTACCTAGTACTCGAAATTGTTAACCACTTATTTCTAAACACACAATGTTACCTATATTGTCGGGAAGCAGACGGCCAAAGTCAGGCCACTGTGAGAAGCACTACCCCACTTCCTTCTCGTTTGTGCATTCATTGTGCAGTTTGTTTTTATTCGGACGAAAGAGGGGCAGACATTCTGGCATGAAACTTGCCCGCCCCATCCACTTGATTTATCATGCTTGACATGCCTATGTTAATCAGTGTTCTTCACCGCTTTTATCGAAGTTCTCTTGCAGACTCCAAGCTGTAACGCTGTCTGCTGTCCGTAATCTTGCAATAAACCTTCATATCTGAATTTCCTCAGTATAACGTGTGCCGGTGTCTTCGGCAGTACTCTTCATCGCTCGGATGTGCAAATGCCGAGTGCTGAAGTGTACAAACTTAAAGTGAGGCGAGCTCAGCGGGAAGTTTTATCTTTGACCTTTCATATGTTGCTCACAAATAGTGAAACATGAGACAATGGTCTGTAAACGTGTCCTCCATTTCAGTGAAACTACCGTGCACTTCTACGGCCCAAAGTGTTGATGATGAGTGCGTAGAAAAAGTAATGATAAAAGTGAACGCGACGCCCGTAAAGTTTCAGTAGTATCGTGGAATAAACACACGCGAAATTCACGCTTGGTATGTAGCTACACTTAAGCATGTGGCTACACTTCTACAGTGTCGGCTACTGAAATCCGAGATGAGTGAGCAGCGTAAATTGTTAGCGAAAGATTGCACAAATGCGATCGAATCTCATTAGCTTCCATAAACTACCCACTTTGTTCTACCTAAACATTGTTGTCAGCAATGTACAATCGATATTGCCAGCCTCAAATAGAGGACAGGAGGCGTATCACTTGGCATGACGTATTCTGTCTGCGTTTCTCTCTCTCTCTCTCTCTCTCTCTCTGTGTGTGTTACGATGTTAGAATCAGAAAAAAGTGAACAACAAAATGACGACTCCGTCACAAAGGTCATTATAGTTATGTTCTGGCTGTAATGATTTGCAGGGTTTTGTTTGTGCATGATCCCATATTTTAGAGCATTGCTTCGAAGTGCCTTCTTGTCTAGTCAACTTTCTCAGTCTCAAATGGTTCTCTATTCGAGTTTAAGTTTGGTGCTTTCAGTCTACGCAATGGGAAGCGTATACAGTGCTTGCGAACATTTTTGTCCCATTAGCAACACCCTCCTGGATCGGACGTGCTTGGTGGCGCGGACAATTCTGTCCATCGGCCGCGCCTTGCCGAAGCACAGTCCCTGGGAAGTGATGACGGAGTGTGGTCAGCCCAGGAAGAGTGAATGCAAGCCGCTCGAAAAGCCTTGCCTCTTCGACATCGAGCGAGACCCCTGCGAGATTGACAACATAGCCGATGATTACCCGCACGTGAGTATTTGGTTTAAACGCGATAGCGTGAAAAAGCTCGTTTCGAAGAAATTCGAAAGTTGTTGGCTTCGGCGTCGGGCTTTGATGGCGCGGAAAAAGCAACATTTCTCATGAATGCGAAGTCGAGGTAGATGCAAATAGGATGTGATATTGGAAGTTTCCGTACTTTCACTTTTCTCGCGGCAAGCTATAGGTTCCCACCGCAAGGAGGCTTGTGATTGGCAAGGCGATACAAACGTGGCCCGATTGCACTATCGCTACTCTATTTGGTCGCAGCTTCCGAGAAATGTGGGAGCGCTGTTTTGTCGCACCATATTCTGAAGGCGTTGCTACGCTGTGGCGCAACTTTTTTCGAACGCAGGAAAAACAAATTATCGTAACACGAACGAGGGAGTTCAAAAAGAGGTTTTTCGCTGTCGGTTTTTCTATTTTATGAGATTTTTCTGGACATACTTATTGTAGGCTGATCGCTTTCGCTTATAACATGCCGAGCATTGCGTATGACGGACACACATAGCTTCTAACAGTTTTAAGGCTAAACATGATTTTATAAGTGGGTGCATTAGGTAGGCTTCGAAATTGACACACTACATATATAAGACATATGTTGTATAAAAAAAGATGTTTCGAATGTTAGGCACATACCGAAATGTACATTTAGTACATAGCAACACACAGCTAAATATCTGTAGACTGAGTATACTTGCAGAACTTAAGCGAACATCAAATCCAGACGCACCTTAAAAGTTCATTGATGACAGCATATTAGCATGGTATGCTGTGTTTGTATATTGTAAAATATATTGGTCTGTACTTCAAAACAGTTCAATTCATTATCGTTGTTAACCGTCAATCGGCTCACAATTAATTAGCCTAGCTGGCGTGAAAACTAAAAAAATTAGATTCATGTGTTCGCACGAAAAGGTACGCAATTCGGTTAAGCGGTAGTAGTAAGTACTCATCTATTGCTTTAAGCACATGAATTTGTCGTGTCCATACGCCACACGTTTTTCACTTGTTTCAAGACACCAAAAACACAACAAGTAAGAAAACATTTCAAAACGTTTTAAGTAACGAGGATGGTTATAGCGCGAGAACAGAACGATGACGCAGAGACAAGAAGGACACGCGTCGTTCTGTTCTCGCGCTTTAACTATCGTCTTGTTATACCAACTAGCCCAACCTGCCACACTTCTAAGTCTTGAGTAACTTTGATTACCCATCATGCCCTATGACCTGTTTGTTCTTTTTTTGTCAGGTATTACGAAGCTTGGAAAACCGGCTGCAACAGCACAAGAAAACAATGGTCCCACCACTGAACAAGCCACCTACAAAGAGATCGGATCCGAGATATTTCGATTTCACCTGGGCACCTTATTTGGACACTGTGTGATTAACTTTTCTGGTTTCTATGGAGTGTTGCTTCGTGTGAATCATTTTGCTCAGTAAATCAAATTATCCCTCGATGGGTTTGTCTGTCTCATGGAGGCTTGACTATAAGTTCTGTGCGTCGTCCTCAAGGACTGCTTTTATATATTTTATGACAGTCTAGAGACATTTTATTTATCCTCAGATAAAAGAAAAGGGAGCAAAGAAACCGGCGCATTCCCTAGGGCTAGACGCACTCTGTAAGCATTGGCTTACTTCTTCACTTTCGGCTATGCCAATATCTTGAATACACTCATAATGATGTCTTGATAACGACCAATGTAACACATAAATGTCTTCTGTGTAGGTATGATTTTTTCAGAAATAAAATTCTCTTAAACACATGTGAGGCCCACAGGCCCATTGTGGGGTGCAGTTCCACGAAACGATCTAGAGCTGACACTTGGGACCATAAGCATCTCGAGATGCTTCTATGGTATTTCCTTCAAAGGGACTTCATAGAGAAATATGCTATATAAACATTGGCCACTGGAGCCTTTTTGCGGCCCTGCAAGAAAGAGTGTGAGCAACCGCTACATGGCGTACCGATCCTCACATTTACTCCTTTGTTAAAAATATTTAATAGCTTCCACAGGAGGACAATAAATATCCAAGTTTGGCATCAATTTTTAGCAAAGAAGAAATTTGATTAATTTGTGCAAGTTTTCATATCAATTCTACATCATGTCCCGGGACTTCGCAAATCTCCGATAGTAAGTGATTCTTTTCTAACAGTAGTAACAATTAAGTCTTTAACAGCAGCCACTTTTTCACCTATTCAGAAAAGCTCCTCAGTTTGATTTGCCACAAGGTAACGCGGTGAACACACTGCTCAGGGCGATGTGTTTGAAACGAATTTGGGCTGCCTTGAAGGCTTTGGTTGTAGTTCAGCTCCAAGTGAAGGTGACAGAAAAAATACTCATGCGTCAACAGTAAATGAAATCACACTGTCTTAAAACAAAATTTTCTATCTTGCCGTAAGACAAGAACAATGTTCATTTTTTTCCTTTACAACTTTTATGCACCCGGTGGCGTCGCGATTGCGATGACCGAACGACACTTTGCAAAAACTGAAAACGCGTGTTGCGCTCAGGTAACGTTAAGCGTTTGAACGGAACAAGAATTGGAGCACAAAATCGGTCAGCCAAAAGCTATTAGAAGATAGAAGAAAGCACCACCAAATACGTCCACATGCATGCAGAACTGAATGACTCTATATGAGGGGTTTATATCTACATCTCAATGTCTGTGAGTGATTTTAATTGAAAATAAAAGTGAGCCCCGTAACTGTCTCTTAGGAGGAGGACACCTCAACAGTAGCTGCCGATGGGCGGGGGTAAAGGAGGGATAAAAAGAATAGGATTAAATGGTAAATACATAGAAAGAGGAAGAAGAGAGCGAGGCGCAGGAACAGCGAACGACAGAAAACGACGGAAGTAGAGAGGAGATAGGAAAGATGGACATGGTCGCAGGAGTCCGAGGGCGGGGCACCACTCAGCGAGAGCTCTTGTCGGCGGCAGGAGATGGCGTAGGCGAGCCAGTCGGCCAGGGCTGCGCTGTCGTTGGAGATCGCGGGGGCACAACCGGTCGCCACGAAATCAAGGGAGCGAGTCCCATCTCAATCTCTGTCAAGGTCAGTGATCGAGTCGCAATAGTTCGAGCTGCCGGAGCACAAGGGTGGCAAGCGTGGCGTGACGTTCCATCGGAGCCTCGCACTTGGGGTATCACGTGCATATGCGAATATAAACCACAAATAGACGCTCGCCTGATCATCTTCATGCCTATGCGCCATTTCCAGCGGCCGCCATAGAAACAACAGACGTTCAGGTGATGTGCTCTGGCAGGGTAGTTGATTCATAGCTGAAAAACATTCTACACTGCGCGAAAAGACGCAGACAAAAGTAAGACAGCATTCTGAACACAGCTGCCTTCGTGGTGTTCTGAATGTTTTCTCACTTCTGTGTCTTTGTCTTCAGGCGCAGTTTTTCTGCTAGCAGGTGCGTGCACTCCCTGCTGCCCCTCCTAGCTCAGCAAGGACAGAAAGCACGGAACGCGAGCAGCTAGGCATCGGGCTGTAAAATCTCAAGCGATGTGCATGTTGTCTGCTGAAGGACCAACCCAAACGGAGGCCATATTGGTTGTGTGTGATTATGGAGCGAAATGCACATACTTTTGACTCGTGATAACCAGGTTTAAAAGGAGGTAAATTTAACCGAACCATTTTCTTTATTTAATTTTTTTTTCTGAGTAACTGCTCTAGTCTGGGTACAGCGCGAGATCGACGGAGACGGAAGTGTCACAGGCGAGCGCTTCCGTTTTCCGTCTTCGCCGACCTCACGCTGTACCCACAAATGCTGCGTTACCAACTAGCCCACCTTTCTCTGCTATTGTGATTATTCTCTCTCTCTTTTTTCTTTAATAATGCTTCGACTGGCGATTTTGATGAACTTCGGAACGCAAATTTGGGATCACATGTGCTGCCTCGGTAATCGAAAAGGACAAGGATTGAGAGGCCCTTAAGGTCTCTGTGGCCTATACACCGCATCTTCTTTGTATTGAAGGGTTACGAAAGATGTCGTCTGAGAGTTTGTAGTCAAGGAGAAGCAGTTGGTCGCGGACGTAGGTCAGAACAAAACATGCCGTTTCATTGCCAGTACAGATGCCCTTTCGTATATTTAGAAAAATTTATTGTAACAAACATCAACAACACTCAACAGAACACTTTTTTCTTAGACATACAATGATGATGATGACGCAATAGACGTCGTTTACATAAACGTGAATATGCGATGACGTTGAAACAACATGTATATTCGATGGTTAACACAAACACAACCACTAAAAATATTAAACAAGATATAGATACGTCGCAAACGCAAAACGTTCCTAAGAAGTCTTGACGCTACTACGTCATATTCTGAAGCATTCTCAACTGAGAACGTTTAGTACATCCCGGATTTTAACGGTGAGCAATTACGCTCTATTGGTTCTGGAACTACTTTTTTTCTGTTTTGCTCAGCGAGTGGCTGCTTTCCAGAAGACATCACGTTCTTTTATTTGAAGCTCGTGAAAAGTACGTCCCATTTGCGTGGTATCTCAGTCAACGGCTGAAAAAGAAGCGATAAAAATAAGAAGAGAAATGTGCCATCGTGACATTTTTACCCGGGCTGTCTATGAAAAGGGATCGGAGCGCTTCGTCCAACAGCCAGCATGCCAGCTGGTCCCCACGTGTGGACCATCCCCAGCCGGAGTACCAAACTTTCATCAAATTTAGCAGCAAACTGCCCATGCGCTACGTCTACAAGAATGCTTTTTTATTGTTAATCGAGAGTGTTGCTTGTTGGGAAAGTTGGTACATATTTAAACTCGAAGAAAGCCAATAAAACTCTGAGCTCCGCCGTGGTGGCCTAGTGGCTAAGGTACTTGGCTGCTGACTCGAAGGTTGCGGGACCGAACCGCGACTGCGGCGGCTTCATTATTGACGGAGGCGGAAATGCTGTAGGCCCGTGGGTGCACGCTAAAGAACCCCAAGTGTTCAAAATTTCCGGAGCCCGTCACTCTGGCGTCTCTCATAATCACATGGTGATTTTTGGGCGTTAAACTCCACATATCAATCAATGAATCAATAATTTAATCAATCAATCAGTCAATCTAACCAAATTGCCCCGCCGTGGTGGTCTAGTAGCTAAGGTACTCGGCTGCTGACCCGCAGGTCGCGGGTTAAAATCCCGGCTGCGGCGGCTGCATTTCCGATGGAGGCGGAAATGTTGTAGGCCCGTGTGCTCAGGTTTGGGTGCACGTTAAAGAACCCCAGGTGGTCTAAATTTCCGGAGCCCTCCACTACGGCGTCTCTCATAATCATATAATGGTTTTTGGGACATTAAACTACACAAATCAATCAATCTCACCAAATTCCCCAAAAAAAAAGAAACTGAAAAAGCAGCAGAGCCACCTCTGCGATCACTGTCTCTGCTTCTGCCTCTCGTTTTCTTCACAGGTCGATTTTCTGCAGCTATAGGCCTTCGTGCGGTGATTATTGAGCATCATGCTCGTGGCCATTAACGGCAGCGTCAAACAACGAAGCAGCCCGTCTTTCTGGGCAAACGAAGCGCACAGGCGCACGCTACTCTGCGGCTGGAATTTCCTGGGCGACTGACGCTCTCTCCACTCTATATTTGACGTGCCAATGAGTCGTCAGTCATCTGCATTCAACACCAGAGCTGCGACACTGTTGCTCGACAGAGGTGACGCCAGCAGCGTTAACTGGAAACTCGCGTTGATAGATTAGCGGCCCGAGGGGTCTGTATTCTGGCTCCCGACCTAGAGGACTGTTTCTTGCTGGGGTATCAGGGCGCTTCTTTCTTTCATATGCCATCGTGTGTGACGATGTGATCTGATTGATGGGTGTTGTTTAATCGCTGTCGCAAACGTGGGCATGGCTGCGAAACTGGTGAGTTGAAATATTTTTTTTCCAGTTACCAGTTACCTCGCGCCGTTGGTGGACCAAGTGATGCTGCTTCACCCGTTCACCCATGTCAGTACGGTGCTAACGTTCCCTCGTGTGGCAGCTGCAGCTGTGATTGCTCTGTTGTTGTCGATAATGAGGATTGTTGGGTTATTTTGTGAAAAAGTACGACACGAACTGCTAACAGAATGTTTCGGTGGTCGTTCTCAAGCATACTCTATTTCATCGCCTTTCAAAGTGAAGTGCTCAAGCAAGCTTGTTGGGACGTTCGCGTAAGATATGGCGACCTACAATTCTAAAAGTAAAGGGAATGATCTTACGCCAAGTCTGAAGACGCCAGGCTGGTAACGCGATTAGATTTTCGCTCCAGAAACGCGTAAGATTGCACTGCAATATTCATCTTCGTGCGGTAGCCTTCTCATTCCGTGTTCGTGATTTTATTTGCCCGTTTTCGCCTTCATTCGTGTGCAAAGGTGCGCAACTGTCGTTATTGACGACGCAACGGACAGTCACCCACTAAAGTTCACGGACCACGTGATCGCGTGGCCGAGAGTCTTCTCGTGACATTTCCGCTACGTCCGAGTTGATCGGAAGGAGCGCATCCCTCGAGACGCAACCCGACGTCAATCGATGGCCTGATTGTTTTCCGCATTGTTTGGCGACGGTACGATTGCATTTCTCACTTTTCAATTCCGACGCGAAGCGCTTCATTGCAGACACAGCTGCTTTCTTCTGTCTTGGGAGCAGTCTATTGGCGTGAATGTTATCATGCAGCCGCAAATGGTTCTCTCCAATTACATTCATTCGACGTCACGCCATTCGAGGCACGCTGCACTATCTTTGATTATTCTATCATAGTAGAAGTTTGATGTTCAT